GGTCTCATCCCACTGGCTAACCATAAGTCTGACAAGCAATTCCCTTAGACACTCCAGTTTCCCAGTATCACCACCAGTGCCCTCGTTATGGGGACGAATGGTTATGAAAACCAACACCCCAGTAAAAGAAAAAGTTTCTCCCAATCCCAAAGGACCAAGCCCTACACCCAGGTCAATATACAAGTTAGATCTTACCCACAAATCACGCTGTTGCCAATCATTTAGAATCTAAAAGCTAAAGGTTTATTCATGAAAGGAAAAAGATATAGATGAGAGCTAGAATTGGTTAAATGGAGTCAATAACATACAGTAATGGCAAAGTTCTTGGTTCAGGCTTGTAGCAGTGATGGAATAAACTGCAGGTTTAAATCAAGTCTCTGGAGTACATCCACAGCTGGGATGGGTCATTCAGTCCTTTGTTCAGTGCTTCAGTTTGTAGCAAGGTTCCTCCAGAAGTAAGAAGCAGGATTGAAGACAAGATGGAGATGAGGCATCAGCCTTTTATAGTTTCTTGCCATGTGGCCTCTGCTTTCTTTGTCCCAAGGACAAGCTGTCCAGCACATGGCATGAAAAACCCTTAGCGTTCTGTCCATAGGCATGTCCCTACACGCCTTGCTCAGTCACAAGGTGTATCTACCTTCTCTCAATGGGTCAACTGTATAGCTGATGGTCCTTAATGGGCCATCCAGCAGGCTAGGCAGTGCTGACGCCACATTGCCCATTGCCTGGGGTGTCACCCAGAAGCATAGCACAAGTTTGAACTACAGACAGTATAGAGCCAATACTTATAACTTTAAATACAAAAATGATACATGCAGCCAGATAGTATAAACATAACCAGCAAATCATAACCTCCTCATCGACACCTTACTTGACCTCCTTTGTACAAGATTTGGTGTGACTACAGGATCTTGGTTGCAACAATGGTCTATACTGTCACAGTTGGTGTCAATAATGTCACGGACCTCCTGAGGTCTCTTCCAACCCTAATATTCTATGATTCTAAGTGATCCATCCCCTGCCGCCCATTCCCAGCTTCTGGCAAACAGAGCCTAGGGACACCATCCCTGTCCATCCTGGCTAATAGCCACTGATGGACCTGTCCTCCATGAACATATCTATTTTTTTTAAACTTATCTAGTTCTTTTGCTACAATATTTGTGGTTAATGCTATTGGTACTTAATGCGTACTACTAGTATATATATATATATGGTGCAGAAAATACAGATTATGAATGTGATATAGATCTATATGATATCCAGCATATATTAGGCAACAGGAACAAAGGTGATAGCAAAGTAGAGCAAGGTGATAGCAATACTTTTCCCAAGTATTTTATTCACACACACACACACTACTCTGTTTCATATTTATAGTCAGTATCAGAAAGTGAACTTTGAATACTTTGTGCCTCAGATCACTCTGGTAAGGATTTGGGGAGTTTCGAAGTGCTCTTTGACACCTTTCCTCGCCCCCCTCTCTTGACCTGGTGCATTGTGCTGCTGTGTGGTAGGGTTAAACCACTGGGGATAGACTCTGAAATGTTCAGAAACCACAACTAAGGCCAGATTTACAAAAAAAAAAAAAAAAAAAAGTTAAAGGCACCCAGCAATGGTGGCCCGTTTGGGACAGAAGAGCCCAGCACTCAGCACTTATTCTGGCGCCTAAATGGCCCTTGCTGTGTTGCTGAATCTCAGAGCGGACGGAACGTCAGGGGCAGATACAGTTCCCATCCCAGCGTACACAAAGCCCCCACTAACATACTGTCTAAGTTACTCAGAAAACCTCTCCTGCATCCTCTGCTTCCTGATCACTCAGCAGCCCCCTCCTGCTCACCCTAGAAGCTCTTCCCTCGGAACAGGAGACGCACCCGGTCACGAATCTGTTTGCTTTTCACACCGTACACAATGGGGTTCATCATGGGAGGAAAGAGGAGGTAGAAATTGGCCAGCAGGATGTGTATGTACGGGGTGACATGGCGCCCGAACCTGTGTATTGTTGAGGAGAGGACCACGGGGATGTAGAATACTAAGATGGCACAAAGGTGGGAAACACAAGTGCCGAAAGCCTTGAGCTGCTCTTCCTTGGATGCCAGGCTTAAGACAGCCCTTAGGATCTTGACATACAATAGGGAGATGAACATCAGATCCAGCCCCACGATGAAGACAGTTACGATGATCCCATAGATGTTATTGAACCTGGTGTCAGCACAGGCCAGCTTCACCACGGCCATGTGCTCACAGTAGCAATGGGAGATGACGTGGGACCCGCAGTAGGGCAGCCTCCTCATGAGGAAGGGCAGAGGGAGCACTAGGAGAACAGCCCGGGCCAAAGCCGCCAGCCCGATCTTTGCTATCACTGAATTGGTCAGGATGGTGGCGTACCGCAGGGGGTTGCAGATGGCCACGTACCTGTCGAAGGCCATGGCCAGCAGCAGAGCAGACTCCAGAGTGGAGAACGAGTGAAGGAAAAACATCTGCACCAGGCAGGCATTAAAGCTGATCTCCCTGGAATTAAACCAGAAGATGGTCAGTATTTTCGGCACGGTGGTGGTGGATAAAACCAGGTCAATGACGGCCAGCATGGCGAGGAAATAGAACATGGGCTTGTGCAGGGAGGGCTCTGTCTTGATAACATACAAGAGCGTGCAGTTTCCTAGAAGGGCCATGGTGAACATCGAGCAGAAGGGGATGGAGATCCAGGGGTGCAGAGCTTCCAGCTCTGGGATTCCCGTCAGGAAGAACACGGATGGATCAGAGCCTGTGCCGTTGGGAGCTGACAGGTTGCCCTGCAGGAGCATCCTCCGAAAGTTTCACATCAACGTCTGTCCTGTCAATAAAACATATGAGATGGTGAACAGACACGACACGTGAGATGCCGCACTCCACTCTGGCTCACGGGGTGCAATTCCTTTGGAAATGGATGACAAGGTCTGGAGCTGATAGAAACATTGGTTGGGTGGTAAATATCGATGAGCTCAAATTAAGGAAAGCCTGGATCCAGGGGTGTAAGTACAAAGTGATAAGATATCAGCTACCGGAGGGCTCTTTAATCTGGCAGGCAAAGGCAGAACAAGTTCTAGTGACTGGAAGTTGAAGCCTTCATAGTGCAAACTGTGAATAAGATGCAACCATGCAACTGGAACTAAGCTGGAATTAACCAGTTCAAGAGAACCATC